GGATATGATTTTTTCTTGAAATGATTCTCCAATTACTCAATCATAGTTTCAGGCCTTAAAAGAATAAACTCATCGCTAGTGCTTATATGTGAGCTTTCTTGATATCAAGCAAATGTTTTGCAGTTAGAAAAAGTTTATTATGAGAATGAAAATTCTAATGCAACAATTATGTAAGTCTTGAAGATTTTGAAAAGATATCGCACAAATTTTGTGACTTAGAGCACCATTAATTTGTGTATAGAAAAAGCATATGATACCAACATAAGTATTTAGCAAACATTCATGGGAGTCAGGAACACTATCTCATTGAAGTATGCTTTCAAAATAACCTTGCTTCAATTAGGACTTTTGAAGGTTGTAACATGGCCTGGTTCATGGTTTTTAGAAAAAAGATTTTTAAGGCTCAAAATTTATAGGTGCCCACCCATTCTTTGTGATGTTCTCCAAACCTATGTTCAGCTAATTCAACATGAGTGTTCATCTCTCAAGAGGATTTTGTGATGGTTAAGGAAATTACGAGGCTTTCGGAGTAGCAACCACCCTTACGTCTTCGTGTTTGTAGTCACTAATTTGTTTTTTGCTGAGGATTTTTCTTTGTATTCCTTTCTTTGCAATTTTTTATTTTCCCTAACTTTTGCCTGAAATAATGCTTTTGAATTGATAGTCTAGCGGGATGCCCTAATTTTTGCCTAAGCATCTTGTTTTCAAGTTTTTGACTTAGCGTGCTTTCTCTTTTTTCTTGATTATTGATTTTTTGAACAAAGCGTGTGACATTAGCTTGTCTTTACTTGTTGAGAGGATTGTGATTGCCTCGTTTCTTGATGAATGAGGGATAACATTATGGTTCCACATCTTCTTGCTTCATTATACATGAAGGATAGCCCTCGTAGTTTCTCTTCTGAAATATCTTCCTTATGAATTTTGAACACTCAATCAGATTAACTGAAAACTACCCTGCCCCAGGTTAAAATTTGAGGGTTTTTGTATAGAAAAGAAACTCCTACTTCAAGGCTCAAAAGGGGTTAGCAAGGGATTATCTTCCTTATATCTCCGGTGTTTAGGGATTTGAAACAATGCCTGTACATCGTCAGCAAGATTTTATTCAAAAAGCATACAACCAGAGATTTTGTGTTCTTTAGATCATCACTCTCCCTTCAATCTCTGCCTAGGCAGGAGAATGGGAAACAAGTTGGCATCATAATGCAAAATAAATTTAAAATTTGAAAACAAATATGAGTGAAACGAATGAATTTCTTCAAGACAAACATACTCATTGTATTAAGATTATCATTCAAATGCAAACAAGTTCTTACATACAAACAGTGCAATGATAAACAAGAAAAATTACAAATGAACAAGCAAGAAAAATGCTAATTAAACTGAGAAGACTCTCTTCTTTAAACTCCGAGGTATCCTTCAATCATGTTTATTCTTTGGCAAAGATTTGAATTGAACCTCAATACTAATATCCTTAAATGACAAGATACCATTTTTGACCAACTTCTGAACCTCAATCTTCAAAGCAAAGCAACCCTCTAAGTCATGCCCAGGGGAACCTTGATGAAAGGCACAAGTCAAATAAGATTTGTAATACCAATGCATCTTCTCAGGAACCTTCGGTAGAGGTCGGGTCTGAACCAAATTAGTTTGCATCAAGACAGGAAACAACTCCGTATGGGTTGTTGGAATTGGATCGAACTGAATTTTCCTCTAATTAGGAACTTGTTAATTTTGTTGATGAGCTGAAGCTGCAGAAGGTAAATTGAACCCATGGATGATAGGAGAAACACGATGATTCCGGCGATGATTATTTCTTCCTCTGACTCTCTTCTTGGAAAAGTTATTATCAAACTTCTTCACACCATTAGCTGAGATACCATCTTCATATAAACATCCCTTTTCGACATCTTCTTCTAGACGCACTCCCACATTCACCTTGTCAGGAAAGTCATTAGGCGCATTAACCATCACCTTCTCATGACATAATGATTTTAGAGTTTCGGTGAAGACTTTTACCATCGCTTCTTCCTTCCTAGAAGGATTGATTTGGGCGGCAACCAAAATTTCAACCAAAATAGTTAAGTGACCGTACTAGCTTTCAAATTAGTAAACTCTCTGCGGAGTTCAGAAACCTCTTGCTTGATATTCTCCATTGTTCTCTTAGCGTGAGTGTTGTATTGGTGAGACCAAAGGAAAAATTAAGACTTGGAAATGACTTTTGAAAGTGAAACAAAAAAATGTATAATGATGTATGATATGCAAAAGAGAGTTTTTATTTGACTTTCAAGGAAATCAAGATATTAAGTTGTAAACATTAAATTATGAAGCTAGAAGATGAATTTTAAATTGGATCAAAGCGTTGATCAAGTTATCATCAAGATCAATCATCCATTTTGGTGGATTAGGGTTTTCACCCCATCAACACCCAAGATCCATTGAGCTTGACAAAACTTTTGATGTTTACAAAGAAAGACTTCCAAATTCCTTGAAAATCGATTCAAAAGGGTTTTATGGATGCATGAAGGCATGGCTATGCAACAACCACAAGCAAGGTCACAAACAAAGTCGAAAGGTTCAACGTCACGAGCATGGAGTCAAAGGTAAAGACCGTCCCCAAGGTATGTACTAAAGGTTTAATCACACCTGTAAAACAAGGTTCTAAAAGTTCCCAGAGTCTAAATTCCTCCTTCGGATATTACCAACGTCCCAGTTACTCGGTAATTAGCAATATTCTCAAGAGAAACTCGTCTGAGTGCAGCATCGCATGACAACTACTTCCGGATTACTCTGTTATAGTCTCCGCACTACACCTAAGAGGCCAAGATGGGTTAGGGCTCTACGGTTCTCATCTTCTCTGGCTCCCAGGTCGAAAGCAATAATGTCTTCCCGATTACTCGGTAAACAAATACTACGTTCAAAGGGGCTTCCACTGAGTGGGGATTTCATGCCTCCTTCTTCGGGATTACTCCCTCAAAGTTAACATGACTATACCGCATGTCCTATTCCTAAGTGTAACTTAGTCCGGGTATAGGACTTGTCCTTTGTGAATATCATCAACACCCAAATAACCACAATATATCACATATAATCAAACAAACAAGTAATAATAAATAAAAAATAGATATGACAAATTAGGCTTAACCCACTTAAGGATGGACCAGCAAGAGGTCAATCTGTCCCCAGCAGAGTCGCCAATTCTGTAACGGTGAAAATCGGAGATAGAGCTATTAACTAACTCGACTCGCAAAAGCAAGATTTGCCACCGTGCTTTATTATTTCCAAGGGAAAAGGGAAAATAGCGAAATAAAACCCTTAAATGTGCAATGTAAAATAGTACTTAAAAGTAATGAAAATACAATGTGTTTATGAAAAGTGATCTAGAGTTCGGGGGTTGGTTATGCAATGGGAAGGTATTAGCACCCAATGCATCTGCGGTATTCTGCAGGAGCCTTTTGAAATATCTGTTTTTTTTGGTTTAAATTGTTTGTTTGATTAAAATGGTTTGTTTGGTCAAAATGGGTGTGGACGAAATTTTGAAGATACGACGACCTAATGTCGAAGTTTTGACTTAAAAGGTGAGTTTAAAAATGGAGTCTTTTAGGAAAATTATCTCAAGTTTAGAAAAATAGTAAACAAACAAAAGATGAATGAGGGGATTCGCACAATCCTAAAAAATATATTTGATGACGAGAAGTCAACAAAGTTAAAACATTTCCCTTGGAATTAAACAAACGAAAAGTAAGCTATAAAAAATTAAAATGAACTAAATCGAAAATATCACAAAATTTACTAACATATGAAAAGAAAATCATAAAGGGATAAACATAAACAAAAATTGATGACAAGTAAATAATAAAAAATACAAAATGATGGAAGAAATCAAGCATAAAGAGATATAGCAAAAATCAACTCTAGGCTACGATTGAAATTTCTAAGATTATTGAATTAAAATGTAAAACTAAAATTCTAAAATTTACTAATTAAACTAAATGAAAATTATAACATTACTAACTAAGCTAACTCAAATATTCTAAAGTTATTAAATAAATTAAACATTCTAAGTTATTAATTACTGGATAAAATTCTAAAGTTACTAACTAAGCTTGACAACAATTCTAAATTTACTACTTAATTCTAAAGAAAATATTAAGTTGATTCTAAACTAAATTAATTGACTAAGGTTTATCTAAAATTATGATGAAAAAACTAATATTAACTAACTAACAATAAGAAATAACTAAAAAAATGTGGTGTGAGAATTAGAAACAGCAAAATAGAGTGTGTATAAGGGGAATCTCGCTGGGTTTATAATTAGTAAGCTAAAGCCCAAACAGTTGTATAAATTGCTGAAATGAAATAAAGAATTTAGAGGAACTCGAAATGGGCCTAAAGCGGGCCCAGTCTAGAAGAGGGAAAGAAAAGTTTTCAGAAACCCTAAAGAAACAAGGAAAGGCATCGGGTTTGCATAGCATTGGGAAGGGAAATTTTACTGACTAAATCATTTCTAAAGAATCCTTATCTCCATGTTTATCGTGAAAACAAAACAAAATTAAATGAAAACTCTCTTCCCTACAAATTCTCATCTCTCTCATTCTATTGACGCTCACTTACTTCTCAAAACAAACATTCATCACCTTCTAACTCTCTCACGGTCTCTCACCCTCTGCTCACGACCTTAACATCTCAATCTCGCCTTGAATAAACAACAATAACACTACAACTCTCCCTATCAGTTATCTAAATGATTCTCACGATGCAACCCGAAAGAAAGAAATCAACAACAGCACAACAAACAACATCTTGAACAAGTGCAATTGGAAGCGGAAAATTACCTACGGCAAAGAGATTTTCGCTGAAAATTGTAGAGGTATGATGTAACTAGAATCTTGAGGTTTGTTGTCTGTGTTTGTAGGCTGGATTTGAACTTGTTCTTTATGATAAATTATTTTGGAGGAAGAATTTGTAGATGCAATACTACTAGTATCACAAACAGTGGAAGAATGAAGTTTGAGAAATTTGATGAAGAAAGTGTGGACAGAGGGAAATTTGTGTTGATTCTGAATCGTGACGAAAATACTGTGATACGAGGAATGGAGTGCAAGTTGTTGCTCTGGTTTTTTTGTGGAGGATGTATGCTGTTGTTGCTGTTGATGAAGTTGAGGCTGGCCCATGGATTTATGCTACATCAACTAGGACAATTGTTGTTGGCTTAGGGTTATAGAGTTTTTGTTGCAGTTGAGCCGATGAAGCTAGCTACTAATGCCTCTGATGTTTTTGAAGACGCAATGGGGAGGCAGGGCTAGACACTGTTGGGATTTACTTCAGCCATTGATTATGTGTTAAAGAGTTATGCATCATGGCAGGCTGTCCATTCTGAGACAAACCAGACAACTAAGAATTCATAAAAGCAAGGGATGATGGCCTTGGTAAACCTTGAACCTTTTGATTGTTGAGTGAACCCTGTTGTGAGAGCTGCTGCCTGATTTGGCCAGGAGTCAACCGAAGATGCTGCTGCAGTTACGAAAGTTGTTTTGGGTGGAGAGGGCGGAGACGAAACCAAAGGTACCATAATAGTCTATATATTTTAACCTTCTAATAATTGCATTGGATATGTATTTTTTATAATGATGCAAGTACATTTCAAAGTGTCTCACTTACTTGTTGTTGTTCTATTTCCTGTTTCCAGATATCCTTCCGTTGGATGTTGCACCACGTACCCTTGGAATTGAAACTGTTGGCGGAGTGATGACAACGTTGATTCCTAGAAATATTGTTATCCCTACAAAAAAAATCCATGTTTTACCACTTACCAGGATCAGTAGATAACAGTCTCCATTCAGGTACTGTATAGTTATTCCTCTGCATATTTCTAAGGCTTGGATTTGACTGAATAAACTTGAACTCAAATGGGATGCTTTCTTCTTACCTATTCATAGGTGTTTGAAGGTGAGAGTTTTCACAGATGATTGTCGTCTCCTTGGTAAATTCGAACTGTCTAGAATTTTCTTCCTCTCATATCAGTCACTTCCTAAGGATTTTTTTTATACTCTGTTTCCATGTTACTGCAGGTTCTGAGTTTGGCAAACGAGAAACAATTTATAGTTACATATGAGTCAAGGAACTGCTTGGTGTTATGTTGAAAGATGAGAGTTTTTTTCTTACTGCTTTTTTTGTGTTTTTCTTGGTGTATTTCTTGCTGTATGTTGTTGGTTTTCTATCTAAAAATGATCTCCTAATGCCTTCTTTTTTATCAGTAATTTTCTTCTTTTTTTTCTATGTTCTTGAGAGGTTATTTATATAGGTGAATCCATGAGAAAATGGAGGGAAAACATGAGCTATTTTGAACAATTATGGTGTATTCTTCTAACACTTTTTGCGGCAGTTTTTGTGGTTTCATTTTGGGCATGTTTTGGATAGCAAGGATAAGGACAATGCAGCAGGGGCAGCAACACTGTTTTTTTGTAGGCATCAGGTTTTGGACTAGTAAGGTTTTGGACTAATCTATAGGCTGCTGTTTGGACTGATTTTGCAGGTTTCTTGGACCATTTGTGCAGAATTTTTGGCTTGTTATGGCAGCAAGACAGTAGCATATTGATAGGGAAACAAGATTGTTTTGGTGGTTTATCATAAAAAATGCAAAGTAGAATTTTGGGCAAGGCACCAAGTTGAGATGTCTTGAAGATTTCATGTAATTTTAGCACTTTAGGACTTAGAAATTCATGTGTTTGTGTATGGTTTTATAGTGAGATATGAAATGATGATGATTTTGTAATAGAAGTATTTTGTAACCTCTTGAATTCACATGAATGAAAGTATGAATCTTGAATGAAAATCTTGAATAAATTCTACACCAAATGATCTTGTTCTCTCAATTTAATCTCTAGTCCGAATTGACACATAATTTGATTCCAATTAAAATTTGTGTCGAAATTTGTCTCTGAATTTGAAATGCATGAATGATGAATGAAGTTGAATTTTTAGAAAGGTCTTGAATAATTCTTGATATTTTTAACAATTCACATTAATGAAATTTCACTCTTGAAATAAACCTCGAGAAATTGGAATGCATCTTACTCAAGACATCAAATTCATAAACCTTCTTGAATCTCTCTTGCAAATAAGAACCCTAATGTTATTTGACAAACTTGGATATTTTGGCTTTATGGTATTGGTTACTTGAAAGAAAACTTCACAACAATGAGTCCAATCTTGATTCAAATCTCAAATTCAAGTTAGCTTGCAAACCACAAGAACTTGAAGAATTCTCAACCCTAACTCGCGTTTTCACCTCATAGTAATTTGCAATACATACCAATAGCGCAAATCGTGCCTTTAAGAAATTTAATCGACAATCCACCTTAATCCAATGATCGCTACAGTTCAATTGCAAAATGACTTGAAGTAGTCCACAAGCACTCAAAGAATCATTGGGCTAAAACTCTAGTTTCATGAACTATCCCAACAGAAAAATAAAACGTTCTTGAGAAAATATCGGTGGCACGACTTGAACCTTAATCTTTGAAGTAATCTCATGAAAACACTATTTGTGATACTTTGCAAAGAATCGCCTCAGGACGTTGAAAATTGAAGAAGTTATGATCGTTTGAACTTGAACTTGCAAGAATTGACTTTTGGTCGAAATGGTTTCAATCGACTTGCAAACTTGATCTTTCTTTGCATTCCAAAGCATCTTGATGCACATGTAAACCAGTGATGATGAAATCTTGATTGTGCTTTGGGGAATTTTTGGAGAAGCTTGAGACCACTTATCGAACAAGGCGTGGAAATAAACACACGATTCCCCTGATGAATCAGTCTTCAAGAATCAATGATCAACTGTACTTCTGGCTTGAGAGATTCTGAACCCTAATCGAGGCATGACACCTGATGCTCTTGATTCAGATCTGTTTCCTACAAATGAAATCAAAGAAATGAAAAACACACACTTCATGCTTGATTAGAAGTTAGTGATAAATAGGCTAAGAATGTTCAAAATACTTGACAATTTATGCATAGTCAATGCTCGAAGGTGAGAGGTTAAAACCGACCGTATTTTGTGACCTTGACTTTTGTGTAAAAATGCAAAAATAAAAATGGGATCTTAGGTCAAAAATTGGGGTATGACAACTGCTTAGAGGCACAAAAGGTGCGATTCGATACACACATGCTGGTAGGAGAGGCTGATGACTGGTGGATTAGCACTCGTCAATGGTTGGATGGTGAAGGTTAAGAGATTACGTGGGTTGTATTAATCAGTGAATATCTGAGGAAGTACTTTCGGAAGATGTACGTGGGAAGAATTAAATTGAATTCATGGAATTGGAATATGGAGATTTGTCGGGGATTGAATATGCTGCTAAGTTCGTGGAGCTGGCAAAGTTCTACCCTCATTATAGCGAGGCCAATGCTGAATTTTCAAAGTGTGTTAAGTTTGATAATGAGTTACGCCTAGAAATCAGGCGAGCAACTGGATATCCGCAAATTCGAAAATTTTCTGAATTGATGAATAGTTACAGAATTTATGAGGAGGAGAATAAGGCTCACTATAAGATCATAAGTGATAGAAGAGGCAAGCAAAAATAGAACTGTGGGAAGCCTTACAATGCTCCAATTTAAAAAGGTAAACAAAGAGTTGCTCATGGTAAGAGGCCAAGTGAGGGAGGCGCCCCTACTAACCTTAAATGTTTCAGATGTGGTAAACCAGGACATCACAGTACTTAATGTACTGGTGAATTGAAGAGGTGTTTCCATTGTGGTAAGGCTAGACATGAGGTAGCTGCATGTAAACACAAGGCAATAATATGTTTCAACTGTGGCGAAGAGGGACATATCAATACTCAGTGTCAGAAACCGAAGCAAGCTCAATCCGATGGGAAAGTGTTTTCTTTAGCCGAGACTCAGACATCCAGTGGATATTGATTGATTAGAGGTATATGTTTCAATAATAGTACTCCTTTAATTACTATTATTGACACTAGTGCTACACATTGTTTTATTGTTGCTGATTGTGCGAAAAACATGGGTCTTGTATTATCTTCTATGAATGGAGAGACGGTTATAGATGCTCCATCTAAAGGATCAGTGACTACCTCTATAGTATGTTTGAAATGTCCTTTGTCAATCTTTGATAGAGATTTTGCTGTGGATCTAGTTTGTTTACTGTTGAGTGGTCTGGATGTGATTTTGGGTATGAACTAGTTAGAATATAATTATTCATATTAATTATTACAACAAATCCGTTTTGTTTTCTCCTTTCTATGAGAAGGGGAAGTTGGATTCTTGTCTGCAAGGGAGTTGAACGCGTTGGTACAAAATGAGGCTCAAGTGTTTTCTTTAATGGTGTCCATGTCTATTGAGAATAAGGATGCAATTGATGAGTTGCATGTAGTGCGTAATTTTCATGAATTTTTCCAGATGATATTCCAGATGTTCCACCAAAAAGAGAAGTGGAATTTTCTATTGGTCTTGTCACTGGTACCAGACCCGCTTCCCTGGCACCATACAGGATGTTGGCATCTGAGTTGGCAGAGTTGAAGAAGAAATTAGAAGACTTACTTGAAAAGAAATTTTTGAGACCAAGTGTATCGCCTTGGGGAGCTCCAGTGTTGCTTATGAAAAATAAAGATGGTAGTATGAGACCGTGCGTTGATTATCGACAGTCGAACAAAGTGATAACAAAAAACAAGTATCTACTTCCGAGAATAGATGTCTTGATGAATCGATTGGTGGGTGCACTTGAGATCGGGTTATCACCAAATTCAAGTTAATGATGAAGAAATTCAAAAGACGACTTTCAGAACTCGGTATGGACATAGTATTTAGTAATGTCGTTCGGTGTTAAAAATGTGCCAGAGGTGTTTATGGAGTATATGAACCATATCTTTTGCACTTATTTGGATCAGTTCGTAGTAGTATTTATTAATGATATTTTGATCCTCCAAAATCAGAAGAGGAACACGCTGAACATTTGCAAATTATATTGCAAGTGTTGAAATAGAAGAAGTTATATGCAAAGTTGTCAAAATGTGAATTCTGGTTAGAAAAAGTTAGTTTTCTTGGTCACATTATTTCAGGTGATTGTATTGTTGTAGATCCATCCAAAGCGGATGCAGTGTTGTAGTGGAAAGCTCCAAAATCAGTTACGAAAATTAGAAGTTTTTTGGGCTTGGCTGGTTTTTATAGGAGATTTATTGAGGACTTTTCTAAGTTAGAACTCTCTCTAACTCAACTGACTTATAAAGGAAAAGTTTTTGAGTGGAATATCCAGTGTGAGGAAAGTTTTACTGAGCTAAAGAAGAAATTGACGACGACCCTGATTTTGATATCACCTAATCCCAAAGAATCGTTTGTTGTGTATTGTCATGCTTCTAAATTGGGCTTAGGTGGTGTGCTCATGTAGAACGATAAAGTGGTAGCTTATGCGTCGAGGCAATTGAGGATTCATGAAAGGAATTATCCTACTCATGATCTAGAACTAGTTGCAGCGGTGTTTGTGCAAAAGATTTGGAGGCATTACCTTTATGGCTCCAGATTTGAAGTGTTTAGTGATCATAAGAGATTGCAGTATTTGTTTGACCAGAAGGAATTGAACATGAGGCAACAAAGGTGGCTAGAACTTTTAAAGGACTATGATTTCGACTTAAATTACCATCCGAGTAAAGCTAATGTTATGGCAGAGGCTTTAAGTAGGAAATCGTTACATATGTCTGCTATGATGGTTAGAGAAAGATAATTGATTAAACAATTCAGAGACATGCATTTAGTCTATGAGCTGTCACTGCATAGTGTGATGTTGTAAATGTTGAAGATAACAATGATTTCTTGAA